ATAGCGGGATAATTATCAAATTTGTTGGAAACGACCTCGTGCTGGCAGATATGAGACTGACTCTATGATGTTTTTAGATGGCTGATATCAAGGTCATGCCCTTGTTTGTTCACAGTAAGATTGTACCATAGAGCTCAAAAAATGCTCAAAATCCTCTTATGAACAATACAGATAGGGCTAAATTATCTACTTTTTACATTATTATAGAAAACTAGCTGGCAAACCCGGCTCCGCCCGGCCCTGTCATTATTATATTCGTAATCAGCATGCTCGATTACCCCCCTGTGCCAACTCCCAGCCCCGTAGCCCAAATTTTGCAAAAAATCGATAAAATCGATATCGATCGATAACGAAAAGTAGCCTATGACACGCTCCCTGCCCCGAAGCATATGTGTGCCAAGTTTGGTCCAAATCGGTTCAGAAATAAAAATTTCTATTCCGCACATACGTACATACAGACAGACGTACATACACATATTCAACTTTATATAAGATGGGCGATAGAGTCTTCAAGCTATTTCAAAAAGATCGTGAAATAACTTTTAAATTTTTTTCAACAGCGCTTAGAATTTTAGAGCTTTGTAGAGCTCTCCTCTCATGTAGAAGTGGAATTTTAGATACAGGAGCATAAAGCTTTGACACAAAAATTTGCTTTTTCGGAGTTTTCTGCAATAGAGCAGCATATTTTTCGTGTTGTTGTAGAGGCAAGATCAGGCGAACGTCGCTTAATCGTGCAAAGAGTTTGGCTAGTCGTGCTTGTATTAGATTGGTATAACCCTGATTGAGGACAATTCTAATCAATCTATTTTTCCTTAAATTTATGTAGAAAAGAAGGCCTTGAAACTTTAGAAGCAATTGGGAATGATTGCGGGAAAATCCCACATAATTTTGAATGTCACACCCTTCCGTACTCGAACCAAAACTTCTGTTACATCCATTCAGCGCAATCGTTGAAAATCATTTTCTAAAACGTGGAAAGTTTACTAATTACTTATATGTTTATTCATTGCAGAAACACCCTTGAGCTACGCGTTTCATATAAGAAACTGCAAAAATAGAAATTGTATTACAGTTTGAACCAAAAAGGAGACTTGTAGATTTGTTTCGAGCTCGTTCGTATATATGTCACAACGAAATTCAGCTAATCATTTACATTTTCGTGGCAACTTTGGAGTCTCTTCTTAATTTAAAATTACTGGTCTATATGAGGCCTTCATACAGACTTTCTTTACTTTTGAAAGAGTGTACATGCAAATTTACTTTTTGAGCCACTCCAATAAAACCTGAAACTCGAGTAATCTTGTCTTTTTTATCCCTTTCCTCTGCAGACTAATTTGCAAACTCATTCGCATCTGTTTTTCGAATTTTTTAAAAAGCATTTCAACAGTTGTAAATTTAACATCATCGAAAAATCCAGTATCGGCACGCTTCATTGGTTGCTAGCTGAAGATGAAAAAGAAGCCGTCTTGAGCCAGTCTCTGACACCTCAGATTTTCATGTCCCACCCGCTAAGCTTTTCAACTTGCCCGCCTACCTCTTCAACGCTTTCCGACAGCTTCGAAAAGCTATTTTCTGTAACTTCTTGGCTTTTGAGTGGTTTTTAAATCAAGTGACTTTCAGAAAGCGGCTGGGAAGCATTCATTTTGAGTTCGTCTTTACTGTCGACTTGATATGCTCTAACTACTATCTGAGGTGATCAACACTGACATGGATCGTGGGACCATTGTGTCCCTGTTGTTAGCGGCACTCTTCGTAGTGCCTTCAAAACAAAAGGTTACTTTGTATTCTTTCAGTTTGATCATTTACATATTTTATCTCTAAATGAGGTGGTAAATCTAACTGATTTTTAGGTGATTTTTTTTGTATTTTAAAATTTTCATAAAGGCATATGTGACGAAGTTGTTGAAGTCTGTAATTTCAGTGCTCAGAATACCTCCGATGCAGAAGTGATGAAATTGAGCGGCGATGGAGGTGCAACGAAGAGCATCAACGACTTGTAGCCGAGGCCTGTCGAGTCGACCAGCATATAAGGTCTGTTCGTGCACAGAAATTATATTATTAAATTATATTCATTTTCATTATATTAGGTTGCCCAGAAAGTTTTGTCTGTTTCTTTAAACCACTATAAAACCACGCACAATAAAGACCAGACTGGATTTCAACATGCGTTCGATGCAGCATTTCCTCCTTTTTCTTATGAATACATTTTCGTGCCACAATCTTGTTTGCTTTTCTTGATAATTGCCAAAATTTTCCACTCGTCAATTTTATCTGCTAAAAAATTTCATTCCATAATTCCCGAATGGGTTGAGCAAGGATCAAATAGAGTAATTCTCGGTCTACAAGATAAGATATTTAAATTTTCCCAATCTATGTTATTAGCTTCAAAAAATTATTTTTTGGAAGTCTCAATTTTTAGCAAAGCCATGGAACAATTAACTGAAGCAAATACGGGAAGGCTTTCAAATTTTCTGCAAATTGAAACATGATCTTCATTAAAAACTAGCTGGCTTACGCGGCTCCGCCGTATCCGGACCAAACTTGGCACACATACACTTCGGGCCCCGGCGGGTGTCACAGTCCACTTTTCGTTATCGATCGATGTCGATTTTACCGATTTTTATCGATTTTTTGGCAGAGTTCACCTACAGGGCTAGGAGTTGGCACAGGGGGGAAGTGAGCATGGGGATTCCGAATACAATATTAGTTTTCAGAATTATCGATTGCTTTTATTGATTTTATCGATTTTTTGGCAGAGTTCACCTACAGGGCTAGGAGTTGGCACAGGGGGGAAGTGAGCATGGGGATTCCGAATACAATATTAGTTTTCAGGATCGTCCATTACTTTTATCGATTTTATCGATTTTTTTGCAAAGTTTGACCTGCGGGGCTGGGAGTTTGCACAGAGGGTAATCGAGCATGCAGATTACGAATACAATATTAGTTTTCAAGATCGTCCATTACTTTTATCGATTTTATCGATTTTTTGTAAATTTTGACATGCGAGGCTGGGATTTTGCACAGGGGTGTAATCGAGCATGCTGATCACCCCCCTTGGGGATGATCAGCATGCTCGATTACCCCCCTGTGCCAACTCCCAGCCCCCTAGCTCAAACTTTGCAAAAAAATCGATAAAATCGATAAAAGTAATCGATAATCCTGAAAACCAATATTGTATTCGGAATCCCCATGCTCGATTACCCCCCTGTGCGAGCTCCCAGCCCCGTAGCTCAAACTTTGCAAAAAATCGATAAAATCGATAAAAGTAATGGACGATCCTGAAAACTAATGTTGTATTCGGAATCCCCATGCTCACTTCCCCCCCTGTGCGAACTCCTAGCCCTGTAGGTGAACTCTGCAAAAAAATCGATAAAAATCGGTAAAATCGACATCGATCGATAACGAAAAGTGGACTGGGACACCCGCAGGGGCCCGAAGTGTATGTGTGCCAAGTTTGGTCCGGATACGGCGGAGCCGGGTAAGCCAGCTAGTAGTTAATAATTATTGATAGAGATTCCCAAATGACTGGCAATACAAGCTCGAGACAAGCTCCCTTGCAAAAATTTTAGGTGTGTAGAAGTTTTGTAAATGTTGTAAAGTTTCGTGTGATTACTGTTCTTTTTGCCGACCTAATAAATGATGATGATAATGATGATCATTCGTAATTATCCGGCCCGAGCACGAATTTTATGTTAATCAGATTGTATGTATGATTAAAGTGAGCATCAGATGCCACCTTTCTCGATAGGTGATTGAGAAAAAAGTTTTTCTTCGAATTCTGAGTGCGCGTTGAACTTGAAATGTGCTTTAGGATGCAGAACAGGTGAATCCAGATCCAATGGGGGATCTTATCCAGCTCGCCTAAGGTAGGGCAAATGGGGCTCACAGCGAAAGTGCTCAGAAGGCGATTTTGAATTGTTGAAACTTCAGTCAATGTAGAGTGATGTTATTTTACTCTGATCAGAAAAAAGCCTTTCCGTAGGTTGTGGTGCAAAAGGCGACAATCTCAAATTTTGCGGAATTGTCTCTTCGATGCCAAAGTGATACGGCGTCAAACTATGAGGGGTAAAGGTGGGGGCAGACACATGATTCGATGCCATAAGTGAAACTACCGTAGAGATTAGAGAGAGAGAAATATATATATTGCTTTCCTTTCGCACTTCTTGGTCTTCCGCATGCCCCCCCCCCCGCGCGATTCGTTGCTTTTTGTTGTGGGTTTACTACGAGTTTATGCGCCCCAGCGCCAAGCGCGGACGCGGCAACGCTCTAATTTCAAATGTCGCTGAAAAGCTTGGTCATGGTAATTTGAGTCGAGTTGAAGTCTCATTGTTCATTTTTGATCGGTTCACTATTCCTAAGCCTTTTAAAGGCCTCAGTACTCAGTTATGATCATTTTATCGGAGGGAATTTACTAGAGTTGGTATTTCGATAGTTTACAACTTTTACGTACAGACTTGATAACGTATCATCTGTTCTATGACTAGGAGACGCGAGACCGCATTGCGGACACTATCCCAACAAGTTTGAGTTTGCTCCTCCCTCTTTCCAAAGAGTGAATAAATCTCGACGAGATAAATAACAAGTGCCTGCTAAATACACGATTAGGCTTGTTTAGAAAGTGTGTGCAATGCGGTCTCGCGTCTCCTAGTCGTAGTATGAATGGTAAACAATATAACAGTGCGTATTTATTATGTGGTATTTTCTGAAGCTTCAGTTTTCTTGTTCGCCTTCTTTTTCGATGTAGTGTGTTTATGCTCACCTCTGCTCTCGAAACGTAGTGAGTGTGACCTAACATTTTCCCTGCATGTTTCATCATTTAGATGAGCATAAGAAGACGCGATACATTCAAACTCGTACCTATAGTTACAAATGGCTGCGAAGAATGCGCACCATGACCCAGTACAAATTGCGCTTCCGCGCGGGACTCTTGTCGATACAACGCTCACACCCTATAATTTTCAATGCGACACTGAAGGGAAAACCCTTATCTGGGAGGAATCATGAGAATACAAGTACACTACAAGTTAGTACAAGCTCAGGTGAAAGTACAGTTACAGTACGATATCTGATGTTTGAGCTGAATATGCCACCACCCGATGTTTGTCGAACGATAGTATGTAGGTTCATCTTCTTGATAAACTGAACTGATGCTGAGCATGTCATTGATGAGGCAGCAGGTTCATTTATGGTAGTGGTAAGCACGTCGACAACAAATCGTCAGCTTTTGGTATACATGGGCTTTTTCGTACAGCCTTTTCTCTAGCAAGCCTCTCGAGCATATTTCCGATTCTTGGTGCTGGACGCTTGAAAAGTTGAAAATGGTGATCTGTTTACTTTTGCTGTAAAATCACTGCAACCTCTCTTCTGAATCATGCTTACAGTGAATGGATAAGTTTAGCGCTTGTGCTTCGTTTCATAATAGATTTGAAGGATATCTGCATGCGGCGTGTTTAGTTGATTTCAAACTACCACACAAGAGATTGACTCCATGTTCACGAACTAAAGCTCTAACTGCCTCTTTCACATAATTGCAGGTCATAGAAACCAGGAACCTTGCACTACCAGATGCCGCTCATGAAAACCTTTGGATTATCGTACTGAAGAAGTAGTTTTCCTGAATGTGCCATCAAAGGAGGCAGTCTTCTTGATATGCCACGTAAAACATTGTGGTTATCAGGTTGAAAAACAAAGGGTCAAAAAAGCATCAACCACGTATCCCTCTCATAGACAAAATCAAACCCATGCTTTTGAAGACTTGTCAACCAATCATAAATGAACGAAGGCTATTCTGATGCAGACCGATAGACCAGGTTGACGTCACAGCGGCCTTCCTAAGTTGGAGTTTGTTCAAAACGATGCGATTATTGCTATAAACATAAAGCTGTCGAACTCAAAGCAAACTTACAATACTCAGTCACAAGCTAAACTTCCTCCTTTAGCGAGCTGAATGTGCAGCTGAATTCTTCATGGCTGTCTTAGGAGCACAACACATTGTTAAGGCTGCCTTACGCTTATGCACCCATCACCTTTTTTCCATGCTAAGTTCGTGGTCATCGGATCAAGAAACATTGATGTGGATGGTATTATGTGACTAGACAAGCTTTTCAAGCGAAGAATAAATGCACTTGTTTTCTGGTGATTCTACTATAAGAAAGAGTTGTTTTCCTTGAGCGTAGCTTACATCGCGAGGAAAGTTATGGGGTATGCTCGCACAATCGACAGGAGTCCCGTGCGGAAGCGTAATATGCACCGGGTCATGGAGCGCGCTCTTCGCAGCCATTTGTAACTATACGTACGAGTTACATTCAACAGCAATGATACTTCGATCACATCAACAAGCACATGTCCGCCTCAGAAACCACCGCGTGGCTATCCGAGAAAAGGTCCGGTACGAGTTGAGCCGCTCAAAGATGTAGCAAATGGCAATACACAAGGACAATCTACCACCTCACCGGGTAGGATTCATGATGCAGTACGATTTGAGCTTTAGGTTGCTTACTCTATGTGCTTTATTCCAGCCCCATCACAATGTAGGTTTTCAACGACGCAAAAATACCAGAATATGAAGAATTACTTTCGACGGCAGATAGAAAAATTGCATAGGTAGGCCAGTCTAATTCTAATTCTCAACATTGGTGCAGGGATTTTTCGTATCTGATTTCAGAGAAAATGGTGAGTTTTCGGGGTCTGAAGCAGTCAACATACTTGAAGAATATCTCCAAGCAAACCGCGAGCAGTTTTCTGCTCATGTGGTGAAAAGAGAAAACGCAGTAAAGGTAGGAAGAGTTGGTAGAACGCATCAGCAGTTCTTCATTCTTTAAAGATTCTACTTCAACATAATGCCCATCTGGAAGTATTTGGTTCATATATTAGGGTGGTCGGTAAAAAATGGGGCAGCTTAATTTTTATTAAATTTTAAGATTTTTTGTTTCGGTCAACAACAAGCAGGCTGCAACGTAAACGTCGCTTATATAAGCGACTTTCGCCTATTATTCTGGCAAAGCGTCAACGCTCCTCTCCCACAACCCTCACAACCCTACGCGTGGCGCCCTGAAGAACGCGAACAGGGTTT